CCGCGGGAATCAATGCCAAGGCTAGCCAAGGCCGCCGCGTTGCCGCGCCAGTCTGCCTCCATTGATGCCTCACGAGCGGCGTAGTGAAAGCACCGCCGACGCGCGTCCCGCTTGCTACCGCCACGCGTCGCCCAGCATGCCGCCTCCCGGCCGCCCCGCTTGGTCTATAAAAGGCGCCCACTCCCCGCCGGTGAACGCCACACCCTCCCCCTCTCGCAAAAGCCATCTCCCCCTTCCCGCTGACAAGCGAATATGGCCAAGAGGTACCCAGGCGATGGCGCAGCGGTGAACGGCTTCGGCCGCCGACACCTCCAGGAGCCGGAGGCGCGCCTCCTCTACGGGGCCGAATCCCCGGCGCCCCCTGACATGCGCATGCCGGGGGTATGGAGGCTGAGCGCCGCCGGCGTCCTGGTGCCGCCGGTGCCCGAAGGGGCGGCACGACGGGTGGAGATCGCCCGCATCCGCTCCTTCCTGATGGAGGAGCAGCGAAACGCTGTGGACGATGTACTTCCAGCGCCGCCGCGAGGAGCAGATAGCCTCCGTCAACGGCGTCATTCCCTGCGGCCGCCTCAACGCCGAAGGACGGCGCGAGTGGTGGGGCGTCCCCGGCCGCACCCTCGAGGCCGTCCTCGACCACATCGAGACCGGCAACGTGCCGCGCCTCGAGTACCCGACGTGGTCGTCCTTCTCTCGCCATTGCGGCAGTTCCTGGACGCCGCGGCGAGTGGAGCCGACGTCCTCGTCGTCGGGCTCCGGCCCACTCTCCTCGGGCTCGCCGGCACTCTGCCCCGTCAAGCCAGAGCCGGAGGAGACGCCGCAGCGGTGTCGCACCCGCAGTGGCGCCCTCGTCATCAACGAGGGTGCCCGCCCCTCCCCGCGCTCCCTTCGCCCGAGCCGGGCCTGCTCCCCGTGAAGCCGGAGCACGCCGACATGGTGGCTCCCGACGATGAGTCTGCCCTGAAATGGGCGAAGGAGGACTACGTCCGTGAGCAGGTGCGCCGCCAGCGCCAGGCGTACGAGGAGCTCCAGGCCCGGCGACGCGGCCGCGAGGAGGGCGGCGTATCGTCCTCGACAGCGATGAGGAGGAAGAGGCCGGGCCGTCCAACTCCCGGCCGCGCGTCGGCGACCCTGGGCAGGGTTGCAGCAGGGACGGTGGCTCCAGCGGGGCGCGCGACGACGGTGACGGTGGCGTCGGCGACGACTACACCCGCTTCTACAACCTTCTCGACATGTAGATGGCGGGCGATGGACGCGGGGTAGTGGCTAGCGGCGTAGTTTAGCCTTAGTTTGGCGTACTTTGTATGTTTTTACTTTTTTGTACAAATTTCAATTAAATTTCGTTGAGTTTGAACCAGACCTACGTAATTTTCGCCGAACTCAGGGCGACCTTGCGGGCAATGACAGGGGACCGAGCCTCCCACAGACACCAAACTAGCGTCGGTTGGCCCAGGCGACTTCTTTTCGCCGTCCCGGGGCCCGAACGGCTGAAGATGCTCTCACCGGTAGCTCAGAAGGCGCTTTATGACAGCTAAACCAGCGCACACACACAAAAAAAAAATGGAGGAGAAAAGAAAAATGCCGGGTTTGTTCCTGCATATCGCCGCCGCTCTCCTTTTCCTCCTCACGGCCGCTTCGACCGCCGGCGCTTCCACTTATTACGCCTCGGATCCCAACCTCGGATCCGCCCGCGTCGTCTTCCAGGTCCTCCCCCATGATCTTGATTTCTGTTCCTGTTTCTGCTCTTACCGTCGTGAGATTCGCACCCAGGTGTTTCGCCCTGAACTCCTGCAAATTGAGCGGCCTATTCTAGCGTTTGGGGGAGGAAAAATATCCCGGATTAGTTTTTGTAGATTAAATCCTCTATATCTGTCGACGAATTTGCTTTTCTTTTTTTGAAACTTGTAGATCGATTTGTGAATCGTGAGTATCCATGAGGATCTTAGCTGGAATTTCCGAGCCGCTGCTGTAGTTTTACAAAGATCCATTTTGGAATTGGTTTAGCAAGGGTGGTACGGCCAGAGTGTATTGGAGTTAAGAGTGAGAGGATTGCAAGATCCAGGAATCTAGGATTGGTGAGTGTGCTGCTGCATATTTCTCATCAAAATTCTGATTTTCTCGGTTACTCCTATTGGCCGAATACACCTAACTACTCCCAACTGCTAGATGATACGGCTGTAATGGCACAAACTGGATCAGATTTTTTCAATGAAGGGCGACTTTATTATCTCAGAATGTAGCATCAAGCGATACAAAACATTATGAGTAACACCCGGCCTATGCATAACTAGGATGCACACAGCCAAATCCAGAAGTCTGACAATAATTCATTAAATAAAACTGACAAATCAGCAACAGTAGAGTCCTATAGACCGACACTCTGCCTATGTCAAAGGAGGTGGTGAATCGATCCGTAGGTTATGCTGCCACCCATGTCGGGAAAAAACCTCCGTAGCCACCTGCTCCAATCGCATACACACCGCCATGAACAACGGTTGGTACTCCGTCCGTTGTAGCATAGACCACGTATTTAGTGAGTGCGTACACCGGAAAACAACCTGCAGAGGAGAAGCCTTTTTGTCATCAAAAACCAAATCATTTATACATAGTCAAAGCGACCAAATTAAGGCATACGCTCCCATCCTTATTAGCGTTTTTAACCTATTTGTAATACCATCCAACCAAGACCACAAATATTGGCAACACTTGTGGGCGGATACAAATCTGATGCTATTTGGATGACCGACCACGTAGAACATGCAAACTTGCATTGAAAAAAGAGGTGTTTGATTGTCTCGTCACGAATACAAAAACAACACTTCTTACTCCCTGGCCAGTTGCATCATGCAAGGTTGTCTTTAGTTAACACAACTCTCCTACAAAGATACCACATGAAGATTTCACTTTTAGTGGAATCTTAGACTTCCAAATTTTCTTGTTATTACTCACTGGTACCTCAGAGTGCACTGTACATAGAGTCTACTGTGAAAGACCCTGATGTCGTAAGGTTCTAGCAAAACACATCCCGACCTTATCTCAGGTTAATCTAATCCATCCGGGATAAAAGATTATGCCATGACACAAGTCGGGGGCCAATCAAATCCCGCCTGAACGAAATATTCAGCGGGGAAGAACTGAGCACGTGCGCAATAGTATTATTCTAATCGCGACCAATGTTATACAAGGCTGGATATTGTTCTCTGAGACTGACATTGCCTAGCTAGATGTCTTCCCAGAAACGAATCTCCCACCTGTCCTTTATCGCGAAGGACCCAAAGCGAAATAGATGTTTCTTTGTCGTCATTAGGCCACCCTCTTCTCTTCTTTTTTCTTTTTATCTTCAGCCAACCTCATTTCCTTTTCCCAGTCGGCTTGCTTTTTTTTGTGCGGGCACTTGACCACTTTTCTTTCCTCGAGCAACCGGCAGGGCAGAGGCCGCGGCTGCGCACATGGGTGCAGTGGAGCAAGGCAGTGCGGGGTCGCGCAAGAGTGAACCGGGGCAAGGCAGGGCGACGCGCGGGCGCGGTGCGCGTGCGGGGACGTTGTGGAGCAGCCGGCGCAAAGCAGTAGACGCGGAGCGAGCGAACGGAAGGTGGAGGATCCGGCTTGGGTGGCGGCCGGCAGGGATGCTGCAGAGCAGCGGGCGCGGAGCGGGCGGATGGAAGGCGGAGGATCTGGCGTGGGGCGGCGAGCCAGCAGGGATGCTGCAAAGCAGCTGACGTGGAGCGGGTGGAGGGCGAAGTAGCCGCCGCTAAGCGGGCGTCGGGGCGGAGCAGTCGGCGTGGAGGAGCAGAGGCACAAGTGCAATGCGATGCAGTGGCTGGGGCGGGTGCGGAGCAGCCGGTCGTGGCACACTCCGCAAATGGGAGCGAGGCGAAGGAGGCCGGAGTAGTGCGCGGTGGTCAGGGACGAAGGCGAAGCAGTCGGAGTGGCGCGCAGGTGGAGATGCAGGTGGCCGAGCGCTGGTGGGCTTGATGGCGACGACGGCCAGAGCAGGGGGAGAGGAGGGGCCACGCGGAGGCGCGAGCTGGAGCCGACGAAGGACGCGGCAACGGTCGGCCGCGCGGTGAGCCGGAGGGCGCGGGTAGAGCTGGCCCGATGCAGGCCAGGCGCCAGAGGCGGCTAGGAGGCGGGTGGCGCGGAGGCCGCCGGAGGCTGCTGGAGGCGGGGTGCTGGCGAGGCCGGGCGCTAAACGGGGATGACACGACCGGGCTCGGAGGAGGCCAGAGCTGGCGAGGCGCGCGAGGGCGAGGCTGGCGACGCGCAAGTGAGGCTGGGGCGTGGTGGTAGAGCCGGCTGCTGTGGCGGGGGGAGCAGCGGAGGTGTCCTGCGCGGTCGCGCTCGGGGTGAAGCCGGTCTCCGACCGACGCGGTGCAACCGGCTGCAGGGCGTGCAGGCGGAGGCGTCTGCGCGGCGAGGTACTGCAGGCGGAGCCAACACAGAGCAAGGCGCGGCGGTGCAGCGCTGTCGCAGGAGGAGGCAACAAGGCGTTGGAGCGGACGCGGGGAAGGCCGGGGACGCACGAAGCATGGTGCAAAAAACACCATTGTCTGTGTATTATCTGACTAATGTATGGCCATCATCTGGGAAGTGTATGACCATGGTATGGAGATTATCTGGGGCTTGTACGGGGCACAAGAGGGAAGGTGCAGAGAAGGACCTGCGGAGGGCTTGCCGGCCAGTCGTTGGAGCCGTGGTGATGAAGGACCAGTGGTTGCAGGAGGCGGTGAACGCGGGGACGACTCGAGAGACGCCATGGGGACGGTGGTGCTCGCAAGTAAGGAGCAGCAGAGGAGAGGGCGAAGGGATCGAGCGCGAGGAGGATGGCGTCGACGACATGGTGGGGGAGCGGACGCGCGACCGCGGGCAGAGCAGCTGGCGGGGCGGCACGCCTGGCCGGAGTGAGGCGGCGGTGGGGAACGAACGAGTGGCCGTGGACGGAGCAGCGCGCGGAGGCACGCGAGCGTGCCGCCACAGGACGACGGCGGCGTCATGGTAGTGGTGACGAAGAAGGTCCTGTCGGGACCGCGGTTCCAGCAGTAGCTTGCCCCACAGTGGGTGCAAACTGTCGTGGTGTTCCCGCGGGTGGTGCCGCGTCATGGCAGATGCATGGGAGCTATAGTGAGATCCGGCACGGGATTGGGCAACAACACGCGGTGGTTTACCCAGGTTCAGGGCCCTCCGTGGGAGGCAACACCCCTAGTCCTGCATGTCTGGTGTATATGCGCAGAGTTACTCCTAGAGCTGTATTACAGGAGGTAGTGGAGAGCTATGGGCTTCAGGCCTAATGCATATGAGTGAGTGTGTGGCGTGAGAGCCAGAGATGAATGTATAGCCGTGAGTGAGTGTGTGGCATG